CAGTAAAATGCAAGGCCAAAATGAAGAAAAATCAGAAGAAGGAGTTACTAATATACAAGAAGAAGAAATTACTTATGTAAGAAAAAGGTAACTAAACTAATGTTCTAAACTTTACCTATTATGTTTTAAATTTTGTTCTAAAGTTTTCCAATATGTTCTAAAGTTTTCCCTTAAGTTCTAAAGATTTGTATTATGTTCTAAAGTTTTCCATTATGTTCTAAAGTTTTCCATTATGTTCTAAAATTTTCTCTTATGTTCTGAAGATTTGTATTATGTTCTAATATGTATCCATTATAGTTTATGTTCATCTTATCCCTTTATATTTGCACTCTATTTAATGTTAGTTGTATTCTAATTATTTTTAATTGTTTTTAAAGGAAAGTTGAAAACGTTGAAGCGGAAGTAATTGATAGATCGGAATTTGAGAAGCATATTGAAAGTAAAAGTGTTGCTATAAGACATAGAAAACTTCCAACAAGGCTTCAACCACCTCGAAAATTGCAAAAAAAGGAAGGAAGAGAAAAAGATCAAGAAGAAGGAAAAGATCAAAAAGAAGAAGAGGGTAATAATGTTGAGGATGATGACAAGAATAATGATAGTAAAGATGATGGTGAGGATGATAATAAGGGTGATGTAAAGATGAAAGAGAAAGATGAAAAAGAGGAGATGGAAGATGATAGTGAGGAGGAACAAAAAATCAATAAAAAAAATCAAACTCAGGTAATAATACTCTTTAATCTTTACAATCTTTATTTTTATGTTCTAAAGTGCACGCTTATGTTCTAATTTTGCTTATCTATGTTCTAATTATGTTTATCTATTCATGGTGAGGATGTGAAGAAGAAGAAAAGAAAGATTGAAAAAGAAGAAGATGGTGAGGATGTCCAAGTAGTAGAAGCTAATGAGCAAGATAAACTAGTTAAGAGGCAACCTTATCAAAGAGTACCTCCTACTCAATTCATGAAGGATGTGTTGATAAATCTTTCGGAAAAACAAAAGCAAGCTATTCGGAACATTGGTTTTGGAGGCTTTTTGGAATTGGATTTACCAATCCATATTAATTCTACGTAAGTAGTAGAATGTTATGTTCTAAAATCATATTCTAAAATCATAAGTATTATCAATGTTATGTTCAAAATTATGATTTGTCATGTTTGAATTGCTATACACTAATGTTCTAAATTATAAGATTATGTTCTAAATTAGTTATGCTCTAAATTTTGTGCATATGTTCTAAATAATATGATTATGTTCGAAATTAGCTATGTTCTAAATTATGTGCATATGTTCTAAATTGTATGATTATGTTCTACATTATGTGCATATGTTCTAAATAATATGATTATGTTGTAAATTACTTATGTTTTAAAGTTACTTCTTGTATTCTAAAATTATGAACTCTCATGTTTGAATTGCTATACACTAATGTTCTAAATTAATTTTTTGTTATGTTCTAATGTATGTTTATTATGTTCTAAAATAGACTTTTTTTATTATATAATGTTCTAAATTATGTTCAAAAGTTTAAATATTATACTAAATGTTTTAATCTTCTATGTTCTAAAGATTGACTATTATATTCTAAATATAGCTGTATTGTGCTTTAAATCTTACATTTTTCATTATAATTCTAGGTTGACAGAAAACTTGGTTACGAATTTTGACACAAAGAGATGTTGTTTGATGTTACCAAAGAGAAAACAAGAAATCTTTTTGGAGGCAATTGATGTTCATTTGGCTTATGGGTTGCCATTGGGAGGCAAAAGGATTGAGCAACCAAATGATGAGTCAAATCTGAAATGGAGCAAGTTTCTAAAAGCTTGGAGAAGCAAGTTTGGCCTCAAAAAAGTATGATGATATAATGTGGTTATGTTTTAAATTTTATGTTCTAAAGTATGAATTTTATGTTATAAATTGTATGTTATAAAGTGCTTTGCTTATGTTCTAAAGTGTTTTTTGCTTTAAAATAGATCTATTATCTCCATAGGTTTTAATTTATATGTTTTTTTTTACCTCTAAAAGGGAAGTCCAACCAACAAGAGATTGATTGACAGAATTCAAGAATTGAAGAAGGAAAAATCAGTTCCTGATGAATTTCTTTGGAACTTTGTGGTATGTGTTGTCAATTGTTGCATTCGATCAACAAACAACCCACAACTATACATTAAATTCTTGTATAGTTGTATGGATGTAAAGAAAATTGCTGAATTGGATTGGTGCACATTTGTGATTGAGCACTTGAAAGATTCTGTAAGTGTATGGAAGAAGGGAAATTCTTACTTTACAGGTCCTTTACCTTTTCTAATGGTAAGTTTTAAATTCTTACCATTATGTATATATATTATTCTTGTTATGTTGAAAATGTGTGAAAAATATTCTAATTAATTCTTAACATGTACTAAATAGGTATTCTATTTTGATCGTCTACAAAGAGGAGGGTTAGAAAAACCAAGAAAATGTCCACTAATTTCGGTGTGGACAAAGGAAAGGATTCAAGTGAGATATAAGTTTGAAAAAGATCATGGATTTGGATATGGAAAACTCTTGGAAAGAATGGAATCAATTGTGGTATGATATTTGTATATGTTTATGTTTAAACACTACACTTTATGTTGTTGTTTTCTAAATTTTATAATTTATATACTAGAAGGCACCAAAAGGAAAAAAGAAACAACCAAAACAAAAGGAAAAAGAGAAGAGAATGGAAAAATCATCAATAGGTTCTAGTTCTACAACTTCTCGAAATGACATGATGGTATGATTTAGTTTATATTGTAAATTATATTTTATGCTCCATTTAATCCTTTTCTGTTAAATTATCCATGTTATGTCCTTTATGTTCTAAAATATTTTTGTGTTCTAATGAAGGGCTTTTTGAGCAAATTTGGAGATTTGGCAAAAACACTTGCCTCGAATGTTAAAGAGATGTATGGCATGTTAGAACAAGCAAAAGATCTTTTTGTTGAGGAAGAAACAACAGGAAAAATGCAACATCTCATAGACAACATATGGTGCAAGTACACAACAAAGGTATTATAATTATGTTCTAAAGTATTTTCTGGTTGTGTTCTAAAGTATTTTCAGCTTATGTTCTAAAGTATAATAAATTTATATAAATATTATGCATATTATGTTCTAAATTATAATTTCTTATTTTATAGACATTCGTGAACCAAGAAGAAAAGAAAAGCCCTTCTATACTCAGCCAAGATCAACATGTCTTCGATGAACCGGCATTTATTGAAGAATTGGATATGGTTATGGATAAGGCATGGAAGAAATTCGAGGAAACAAGGTCACCAAAGTCACCGACAGTTGGTAATTTCACATGTACATGCTTAATTTCCAAATTATACTTATGTTCTATATTAGATGCTTATGTTTTAAAGTACTTTTTTATGTTCTAAAACATGCGCTTAAATCACATGCTTATGTTCTAAATTATATGATTATGTTCTAAATTAGTTATGTTCTAAATTAGTTATGTACTAAATTAGTTATGTTCTAATTGTTAAGCAGATTTGAGATCAAAGGAAGAGGAAAAAGATAAGAACAAAGAAGAGAGAAATGAAGAGAATAAAGACAAAAACTTGTTGATTCCCTCACCAGTAGTTGGTAATTTCACATTATTTTCAAATTCATTTTTTATGTACTAATATTTACTAGATATGTTCTAATATTACTTCTTATGCTCTAAATTTTTTCTGGTTATGCTTTAAAGTTAATTCTTAATTTTTTATATTCTAACTATTTCTAGGTTGTCTCCTAATTGTATATATTTCTTATGTTCTAAAGTTACTTTTTATTTTCTAATTATTTTTTGCTATTTGCTATAATACTTAATTTTTATGGTGTAATTGCTATGAAGATTTGGGATCAAAAGAAGAAGAAAAAGAGCAGTACAGAAAAGAGAGAAACGAGGAGGAAAAAATTGAGAAGAAAGAGAAAAGGAATGAGGAGTCACCAAAAACCCCAATTCCTCCAAAAAAGAAGCAACCTTTTGATATAACTCCTCCAAGTTTCAAGTTATTGACCCCCTCACCAGCAGTTGGTAGTTTTACATTATTTTCAAACTTTTTTCTTTTGAAATAATATTACTAGATTTGTTTTAAAATTACTTCTTATGTTATAAATTTTTTCTGTTATGTTCTAAAGTTATTTCTGATGTTCTAAATTTTTTCTAAATCAGATGCTTATGTTCTAAATTATGTGCATATGCTCTAAATTATATGATTATGTGCTAAATTATGTGCATATGCTCTAATAATATGATTATGTTCTAAATTATGTGCATATGTTCTAAATAATATGATTATGTTCTAAATTAGTTATGCTCTAAATTATGTGCATATTTTCTAAATAATATGATTATGTTTGAAATTAGTTATGCTCTAAATTATGTGCATATGTTCTAAATTGTATGATTATGTTCTAAATTATGTGCATATGTTCTAAATAATATAATTATGTTGTAAATTAGTTATGTTCTAAAGTTACTTCTTGTGTTCTAAATTTTTCTGGTTATATTCTAGTTATTTCTAATGTTCTAAATTTTTTCCAACTATTTCTATGTTGTGTCCTTATTGTTTCTACTTATGGTTTGATGTCCCAGAAAATCAAGAAGATAATGAAGCAGAACTCACTTACGAAGAAGTGACAGCAAATGTTCTAAATTGTGCTTTTCTAAATCCAGATCATCCACCTACATTGGATGAAGAGGAGAAGCAAGAAGAGGAAAAAGAGGAGAAGAAAGAAGAGGAAAAAGAGGAGAAGAAAGAAGAAAAGGAGAAGAAGAAAGAAGAGGAAAAAGAAGAGAAGCAAGAGGAGAAGAAAGAAGAAAAGGGGAAGAAGAAAGAGGAGGAAAAAAAGGAGATCCAAGAGGAGAAGAGAGAAGAAAAGGGGAAGAAGAAAAAGGAGGAAAAAGAGGAGATCCAAGAGGAGAAGAGAGAAGAAAAGGGGAAGAAGAAAAAGGAGGAAAAAGAGGAGAAGAAAGAAAATGAAGGAAGCAAGAATGAAGAGAAGAACAAAGAAGAAAAAAATGAGAACAAGAAAGGGTAATCATTTTGTAAACTTTAAAACAAATGTTGGTTATGGTTTAGTTAAATTTTAATTTAGAACTTGGTAATAATAAATTTTGGTTTGATTTGGTTATGGTTTTTGTTATCAATAAATTTTGGTTTGATTTAGTTATGGTTTTTGTTATCTATGTGATATTTTTTAATTGAATTAAGTAGGAAACAAGGAGAAGAAAAAGGAGAAGAAAAGACACGGAAAAAAAGAGGAAAGGATAAGCTTCCAATGTACTTGCGTTCACCTTTCATGGTTGAACATGAAAAACTTTTCAAGAATGTGGACAATAGAAAGGTAGCTGAGTATGCGTTTGCTCAAGGAGATAATAAGTAAGACTTTAAAACTTTAAAATTATATGCTTATGTTCTAAGCTATATGCTTATGTTCTAAGCTATATGCTTATGATCTAAGCTATAAATTATGTTCTAAACTTCATTCTTATGTTCTAAACTGCGTGTTCTAAGCTACGAGATTATGTTATAAAGTACATGTGTAAAACTATATGCTTATGTTCTAAAATAGGTACTTATGTTCTAAACTATATTCTTATGTTTTAAATTATGTGTTTATGTTCTAAACTACATGCTTATGTTCTGATTTTATTGTTCTGATTTTAGGGAGCTTTTGTATGCTGATAACATGGGGACAACGATTACGAGAGATGAGATTCATAGTCTCATAGAAGATAAGCACATGTTGAACAATGTTGTGGATGCTTATGTTTGCCTATTGAATTTTGAAAATAAAAGACGTGGTGTAGACAAGAAGAGTAGATTCTTTTTCAGTACTGAATGCTATGTATGTTTTCGAACTTAAAATTATAACTATGTTCTAAGAGTAGATTCTTTTTGTTTCTCATATAGATTATACTATGCACCTATGTTCTAATTACTTATGTTTTAATTTCTTTTTCTTTTTCAGCTCATATGTTGTACAGAAAAATACTTCAAATCAAATGAAAGGCAAGATGATAGAATGAAGGCTTTGTTTGATAGAATGCAACAAGAAATGACAACGACCGAAGTAACAAGCTTCAAAAGCATTCAATTGGTAATTTGGTATCTTATTATGTTGTACTTTTTTCTTATTATATGTTCTAATTATTGGTTTTGTTTATGTTCTAATTATTTTTATCTATGTTTTAAAGTATCTACTTATGTTCTAAACTACTTATTTATCTTCTAAACTACTTACTTATGTTCTAAACTACATGTTATAAAAATTATATGCTTGTGTTCTAATCTATATGCTTATGTTCTAAAATGCATGCTTATGTTCTAATTTTGCTTATCTATGTTCTAATTCTGTTTATCTATTAGGTTTTCTTCCCGGTCGTTTTACCAGATCACTACTATTTGCTGTGTGTCAACTTTGTGGAAGGAACATTTGATTTGATTGACAACAGATTTCTTCCACCAAATATTCCTTTTCACAATAAATATGGAAATTACCATAGATTAATGGTAAGACATCAAGTTTACATTTTTTTAATTATACTTTTGTTCTAACTTTTGCCTTATATGTTCTACAGTTTTTCTTTATGTTCTAAAGTTTACCTTATATGTTCTAAAGTTTATCCAATTTTTCAGTTGAATGCATTTGCTGATTTCGTTCACTCAATTGACTCAAATATAAAGAGTGACTTTGTATCCTCCTTCAAAACAAGAAACTTGAGTATGTCATGGAAGAGCAATAAGAACAAACATGATTGTGGAGTGTTCCTGTTGAAGCACATGGAAACATATGAAGGAGAATCTGTAAAACAATGGAATTCGGGACTAGAATTAGACAATGTAAGTTTAAAACATAAGATACATGTTTTAAATTAGTTTCGTTTATGGTTTTGGTGTTATGGTTTTAGTGTTGTGGTTTGGTTTGGTTATTGTTTAGATATATTATGGTTTATTATATTTATTTATACTTATATGCTAAATTATATTCATGTTCTAAATTATATGCTTATGTTCTAAAGTATTTCTGTTTATGTTCTAAAAGTTACTCTTTTTTTTTTTTTTTGCAGTTTGACCAAATGTTTATGTTTATGTTCTAAAAGTTACTCTTTTTTTTTTTTTTTTTTTTGCAGTTTGACCAAATGAAAAAATTAAGAGTGGAGTATTGTGGGAAGATAATAACAGCAGAAGTAAATGAAGAACGGAACAAAGTGATTAGGAGATCAAAAAAGTGGTCAAAGGAGAACAAAATGGATATATGATTGTTAAGATCTTAAGTTTATATTTGTAGAGAGATATTTGCAAAGAATATAACAGTAATTTTTTATGTTCTATGTATTTACCTGTTACAAGAAATATATTGTTGAATCATATTAAATGCTAAAATTTTAATATAAAATATATCATATAAACTTATATGCTAAATTATATTCATGTTCTAAATTATATGGGTATGTTCTAAAGTATTTTTGATTATGTTTTAATAATTATATGCTTATAAAGTTAGGATATTAGAATATATTATTATATATTAATTTTGACTTAAAACTTAAAGTGTAGAACATTAGAACATAAGAAAATTAAAAAAAAGTAACAAGAAATGACAACAGCCAAAGTAACAAGATTCCAAAGCATTCAATTGGTAACTTGATTCTAATTATATCTTATTATGTTGTACTTTTTTCTTATTACATGTCCAAATTATTGATTTTGCTAATCTTCTAATTATTTTTATCTATGTTCTAAAGTATTTGCTTATGTTCTAAACTGGCTGCTTCTAATCCATTACTTTTGCTTTATTTTTCCTTTTGAATACAATGCATACACTCTTTAGTGCATATCTAAGAAGGCATATGTAAATCAATGTTAAGAAACTTGAATAAATAAAAGTTGATTAAAGCAAGATTCAACTAAATGTTGTTTAATAAAGGTATCTAAAATGCTTGTACTATCATTACTCGTAGTTCAAATTGACTTAATAAAACAACTTATAATTACGAAAAGGGGGGAAGATGAAAAGACAGGAGATGTTATAAAACATTATAATCAACTTTAATTAACATAAAAATTGATAAGAAAAACACTAGTAGAGATACTCTGAATAATAATTGGACAAAAAAGAAATAAAAATATATTGTTTCTAAAAGTAAATAAATTGAGTTCTTATATTTTAAGAATTACATGAATAATATTTTACGTGCTAGTAAATGAGATATTGTTTCTAAATATATAACATCTCATGCAACTGGATTAATAGTATATTCACCAACCTGTAAAGAAAAAAAAATAAAACAATATTAGAACATAAGCACATAATTTAGCATTAAAAAATGTTATAACATGCCATTTCTATTAGTTTAGAACACATGATATTATATAGAGTAAAAACTTTAGAACATTTAAAGAAACCTTTAAAACATATAAAGAAAACTTTAGAACATATAAAGAAAATATTTTGAACATAAAGAGAAAAGTTAAAATATAAAGGAAAACTTTAGAACAAAATGAATAACTTTATATTCTAAACATTAGAGCATATTAAATTACACTAAAACAGAAAGAATAAACATTAGAACATAGAGAAAACACTTTAGAACATAGAAAAGTAACTTTAGAACAAAGAGAAAACACTTTAGAACATATTGAATTACTTTAGAACATATATGAATAACTTTATGTTCTAAACTTGCTTAAAACATAATTACTTTAGAACAAAATAAATATAAGAAAATTAAAAATAAAGTTTACTTACAATATCACTTGACTTTTCCAGGGCAATTACGACTATCATGATAACCAAGCTCCCCACATGCTCTACATAATCTCTTCTTCTTTTGACTTTGTTCAATAGACTTTTCTCTGTCACTCTTCATTCTTTTGTCACTATTTGGAACATGAACCTCATTTGGAACATGGACATCATTTGGAACATGGACATCATTTGGAACATTTACCTGATTTGGAACATGAACCTGATTTGGAACATGGACATCATTTGGAACATTGACCTGATTTGGAACATGAACCCCCGTGCCTTTGTTCTTCGAAATTTTAGGAGGTTTGATTAAAACATTAGAAGGTAGACTAGCTCCAATAAGCATTTCAATGTCTTTAACTTTGCTCGAAAGATTGTTGCTTCCATTTGTTTTCTTCTGTTCCAAATCTGCCCTCATGGCTCGAAGTTTTTTGACAAGATCACTAAGATCATCTTCATTGTTTTGCACTAAACTCACACAAGCATGAATTTCAGACCACAAATCATTTAATAACATTTTCTTATCTACTGCATTAATACATTCCTCCAACACATTACCCTCTAAATCAAAAATGGGCTTCTTATAAGCCATTGTACACCATCTATTTAGAATGTAGGCCTTGGGAATTTTTTCTAACATCCTTGCCTTCCACACCCAAATCATATGCCTACAAGGCACACCATCACGTTCAAATTTTTTACAAAAACACTTGGTATCAAAGGTAGTTGGATAAAAAACAACATCAAAAGTCCTCCTTCTAGTTCCTTCCCTCAAATTGAAAATGTAAAGCTCATTGTCCTTCTTCATCTCCTCAACACCACAATTAAAACATCCAATTTCAAGCTCATATTGAAATTCATAGAAAATTGTTGTTGTAAACAATTCAGAAGCATCTTTCTCTAAAGGAATTGGAGTCTTACACTCCGGACGCTTATTCTTCGAATCATTATCCATTTTATTTTGAGTGTGCCTTTGAGCATCCAATGCACATTCAAACCTATAGAAAATAGAAATTAACTTTAAAACATAGAAGATAATTGTAGAACATAGAGTGAATTACATTAGAACATATAAATATACATGACATGTTTATTATGATCTAAATATTATTAAAACATAAAGAGAAAAAGAAAACATAAAAGAGAATTATAAAATAAATAGTAAAACTATAAAGCATAAAAAGAAAACTTTAGAGCATACAAGGAAAACTTTAGAACATAAAGAGTAACTTTAGAACATATATAGACAATTACTTATTACCTCATGTAGAACTCAATCAAAGTGAGATGGGGATTTGTGAACATAGTGAAAAAATTATTTTCACTTTCTGATCTAGATGTGGTTCTCATAATGCCACCCAAAAATAAATCTCTGAAATACGCTGGAATCCACATATCACGTATGTTGTACATGTATGCCAACCATTCATGATCGTTCAAATGGAATTCTGAAATAACTTTGTTCCACTTTTCTTCAAATTCTGCCGGCTCAATCTCTAAATGCCAAACACATGAACACAGTTTTTTCAAGAAATCAGTGTCTTGGGCAATCGCCCGACCTACTTTTTCAGGCACCTTTTTCATAATATGCCACATACAAAACCTATGTTCTGTAGTTTGAAAAACATTACGAACAACAACTTTCATTGCAGGGTCTTGATCGGTAATCAAACACACAGGCTCGTTATTTCCCATTGCTTTAAGAAAAGTTTTGAAAACCCATTCAAAAGATGATATATCCTCATGAGCTACAAAAGAAGCCGCAAAAGTAACACATTTTTTATGATGATCAACTCCAGTAAATGGACCAAAGATCATATTATATCTGTAACATACACAAATTATTTATGCAGAAAATAGAGGTAAACTTTAGAACATAGAGGTAAATTGTAGAACATAGAGGTATACTTTAGAACATTAAGGATAAACTTTAGAGGATAGTAATTTAATTTAATTATTAAACGTGGCAGTAATATAGTTGTTTTAAAACATAATGAATTACTCTAAAACATAAACACTAAACTAAAAATATACAATGTAGCTTTAAAAACTTATAAGTAAACTTTAGAACATATAGACATAATGTTTAGAACATGATGGATATTAGTTTAGAACACAAAGAATAAAGTGTAAAACACAAAAGCATAATGTTTAAAGCATAAAAGCATGATGGATATATTTTAAAGCATAAGGTAGAACTTTAGCAATATATGTTTAGAACATAAGGCATACATAGTTTAGAACATAAAGAATATTTGTTTAGAACATCAAAACATGATGGATATTTGTTTAGGAACACAAGGCATGATATTTAGAATATAAGAACATATGTTTAAAAAATTAATATGTAAAAGTAAAATATTAATTACATTATGAAAAAAATTTATATTTAAAACATCACCTGTTTGTTTTGAATGTGGTATCAAAAGAAACCATATCACCAAAAAGTGCATAATTTTTTCGACAGATTGGATCAGCCCATAAAGCTCTACAAAGTCTATCTTCTTCATCAACATCATAGGAAAAAAAAAATGCACTCCAGAGCAATTTCTTATTTTGAAAATTATCCACAAACATTTGGGCATCTGATCCATCAATAAAAGCCTTCAAATCTCTATAAAATTTTTTGAAATCTTGTTTAGATGCACCAACATTATCATGTGATCCAGCTAATTCTTTCATCATAGTATAAGACCTCACAGGACCAACATTTACCTGTTAGAAAAAAAAAATATTACTAAGATTAAGAATTAACTTTAGAACATAGTAAATCAAAACAAAAAAAAACATTATTTAGTACATAAAAATAAATCACCTTTGAATTATCAACAATCAACTTTTTATGCATAATATGCATTTTTCTATTATCCTTCTGAAATTTTGCACAACTTGGAGTATATAAAGGATGATTATGTTCTTCTTTGAAATGAGTTACAACATACTTTCCAGCATCATATCTCATACATATGTGAGCATTGCATCCTACACGAGTGACTAAACGTTTCCTAGTAATACGAACTTTTCCTTCTTCATAAACTGTTTGTTGAGCAATAGGTTTTCTTATTGCCCTAAAACCTTCCTTATTGCAAACTCCATATTGAAAAGCAATTATATCTTTGTTATTCTTCTTCCTTTTAGTAGTAGATTTCCTAGAAGTAAACCCAGCGGCATTTGCATATGCTTTATAAAAACTAAGACCCACTTCAGGATCTTTAAATATCATCCCCAAACTGGGTTTTAACTCCTCGGGAACACTTGGAATCCATTCCTTAGTGGTACCACCAGGGCTAAATGATCCAACAACCTCTAGAGTACGATAAATATCACCAACTGCATTAGAACATGAAAGTAAACATTAGAACATAAAAATAAACTTTATAATATAAAGAGAAAGATACATAAAAAACTTTAGAACATACAGAGAAAACTTTAGAACATCAAAGATAAACTTTAGAACATCAAGGATAAACTTTAGAACATATATAATCAGGGACATACTTATAACATAGTGAATTACTTTATAACATACATAATAAAATTTACAATAAAGTGAAAAAATTAAACTAGAAGGTTAACTTTAGAACATACAATGAAAGTAAACATTAGAACATAAAAAGTAAAATTTAAAATTAGAAGGTAAACTTTAGAACATAGAATGAAAGTTTTAGAATATAAAGAGAGAGATATATAGAAAACTTTAGAACATACAGAGAAAACTTCAGAACATTACAGATAAATGTTAGAACATAGTAAAGAAACTTTAGAACATGTAAGTAAATTGAAATTAAAACATTGAAAACAATAAAATTACCTGAATGAGTAACACAGGAAGAAGGATAATTAGGTTGCACACCATCTAAATCCATCAATATGCATAAACCTATTTTGAAAAACACAAATTGTAGCAAAAAAGCAACCAGAAATTAAAATCCATTAAAAATCAAAAATCTGGAAAACAAAATAGGATAAAATCGAAAACGATGTTGAAAAACTCAAGCAAAGGAAAAAAACAGAAAAATCTGGAAATAAAAAATCTGGAAATAAGCAAAGGAAATAAAATCTAGAAATAAAATTTGGAAAAATCTGGAAATTGAAGAAGAAAAAGAAAACTAGAAAACGAAATTGATGAAATTAATGAAAAAACTCAAACAATGCTCTACCCGTTGAGCTAGTAGGCTAATGTATATAAAACACTTGAACTAGAGGAAAAACTACTAACAACTATATAGATAATCACAAAAGTAATTTTTTTTTGTTTAATCATATCCTTTTGCACTTCTAAACACTATCTTTAGCATCGTTTATTGTAATTTGATGATCGATTACTTGCATTAAGGTGGGTTCATTATATTGGCTATATAATCAATCTATCATTAGTAGTCCTTTAAAGCAAAAGTTATCCCAAGTTAAGACTAGTGCTAATTAAACAAGCTTTGACAAACATGCTAAGATTGTCTACTTTAGAACACAATGAATTACTTTAGAACATAAAGAGTAAACTTAATATATGCTAAATAAAAGTTTAGAACATGCTAAGATAGTTAAATAATAGTTTAGAATATAATGAATTACTTTAGAACACAGTGAATTACTTTAGAACACAAAGAGTAAACTTTATAACATAGATGGAAAATTTTAGAACATAGAAGGAAAACTTTAGAACATCTTGAATTATTTTAGAACATAATGAATTACTTTATGTTCTAAATTTCCTTATAACATAGTGAATTATGTTCTAAATTTGATTTGCTTAGAACGTAGTAAATTACTTTATGTTCTAAATTTGTTTAGAACATAGCTATGTTCTAAATTTGCTTTTGCTTAGAACATAGTGAACTATATAAAATCTAGAAATAATAAAATTAAAAAAAAAAAAGGAAAAGGAAAAACCACCACCACCCTTTTCCTCTTCCCAGCCACCAAATTCGCCGCCGTCGCTACCCTAGCCGCCACCTAACCTTTCTCTACCCAGCCAACCCTAACCTCGCCGGTGAACAGATCCCCTGTGCCGGGGACCCACCCAGCCTCCCCACCCCCCTTTTTCCTTTTTCCTTTTTCCTTTTGAGAAAAAATTAACGCATCAAAATCGCAGCATACACAAATCGCAAAAAGCTGGAAAATTTTGAGAAAAAATCGCAGCAAATAAAACAGCATCGAAATCGCAAAAGAAAACCGAACAAAAAAAATCAAAATAAGAACAAACAATTCGAACAATCAAACAATCGAATTGATAAATAATCGAGCAAAATAAATATACATCGAATAGAAAATCGCCAAAAACAAAATCGAATAGAAAATTCGCAAAAAATCGCAAAAATATTGACGAAAACATGAATTAATCAGTAAAAATCGAACATAAATCGCAGCAAAAATTGAGAAATAAACGCATCAAAATCGCAGCATACAAATCGCAAAAATCAGGGAAATATTTGAGAAAAAATCGCATAAAAACGCAACAAAATCACATCAAATTGCAGCAAAAAATCGCATCAAAATCGCATAAAATTCGTAGCAAAATCGCAGCAAAATATTCGCTAAACAATATTGAGAACAATTACATAGAAAATGCTCAAAATAATCGCATGAAATTAATCGCATCAAAATTGCATGAAAAATCATTAAATTTAAAACAAATCTGATTATAAAATTAATAAACTTACAATAATTAATCCAAAATCTGTGAAAATATCGTGATGAATTTGATGAACTTTCGCCAATCTGTTGAACTGAGGAGAGGGAGAAAGCTGAGAATTTTAGAGAGAGAAAGCTGAGAGTTGAGAAACATAAAATAACTAGATGAAGGAAGAGGAAAAAGAATTTGAATAAACTCCTTCAAATTACAAAAATGTCATTACTAATCATTCATTTTGAGCGGTCAGATCAAGCTAATTCCACGGTCCAGATTAGTTCTTATATATAATGGGTTCTTATATAGAGGAGGGTTCTTATATGAGCCTTCCTCTATATATATATATATATATATATATATATATATATATATATATATAGTTTTGTCAGATCGCAAAGAGATGTGATTGACATGCATGAAACAAAGATCTCAAGAGGATTTTATCCATTTGAATTATTGGGGTCCCATAGGATAAGACGTACTGATTTTGGGCTGTCTCTGTCATTTCAGCAACATCTATAGATTTTTAATTGTATGTTAGAAAAAACCTTGCACAACACGAAACATTATCACCAACTTCCTCGTTCTATCAATAGTCTCATCGCATGTTTAAATGTATGTTGGTAAGCCTTATTTACGTTGTCCTCACTCGTTGTAATAGATTAAAGGGAAATATTGTTAATGACCTTAGTTGGTTTTGTGTAAGGGCTTCTTATGCATATAGTAACTTATATTACTTTATTTTCTTTCGTTTGTTGTAAACTCAGTTTAATTAATGTAATTTTAGTTGTTTTCAAAATATGAAAAAAAATAAATTAAATTTAAAAGAATTGATACAAGGTTTGGTGTGTAATAATAATATTTGAAAAATGGAAGAATCAAGAAAAACAAATACTTTTAAACCTCTGCCCCACAATTAAACGATCATATAAAGACCTGCCCTGTTTATTTGATAGACGGATCTAACCCATATTATAACTGTGGCTTTTAACAAAGCTCCAAGGCCTCTCTGAGTTATTTCATTGAAGCGCACTCAACGTTCTCCATTGAAGCGTTCTCCATTGAATCTAATTCTTGTATCCCCATTGAACCAGCTTCTAAGGTAAGCTGTTTGTTGTTGTTATCATCATATCAATTTCACAATCTAGGGTTTATATTTGATCTAATCTAATTAAATTATCAGTACTTTAAGTTTAGGGTTCGTAAATCTCAACTATTGGTTCTAAATTCCTAGATTATGAAACATCATAACCAAAAGAAAAGAAAATTATGAGATTATTGAATCAAATATCCCTAAAATTATGTATTTTTCGAGATAATTGAATATGAAAATAAATCTCTTTTCCCTGGGCTTAGGGCGGCTGCCCTGGGCCTGTGCATCGATCCGCCTCGTTGTCGAGGATGAGTCAACTTCAGCAATCACAGGTTCATCAGCAATTGCAACAGCAGCAGCAGCAATTGCAGCAGCAACAAGTGAATCCGCAGCAGCAGCAACAACAACAACATCAACAATTGTTGAGACAACAAGCGCAACAACAGCAAGCTGCGCTGTATGGACAGATGAATTTTGGTGGGTCAATGTTGAATCAACCATTGAGGCAGCAACAATTACAACCTCTGCAGCAGCAGCAACAGCATCAACAACAGCAGCAGCCGCAACAACAACAGCAGCAACCGCAACAACAACAGCAGCAACCGCAACAGTCTCAGCAACCACAACAGCAACAGCAACAGCCACAGCAACAACAGCAACCATCTCAGCAGCAGCAACAACAACAGTTGCAGCAGCAACAATTGGGCAGTGGGAATTTGTCTCGGTCAACAATGATTGGACAAAGTGGGTCTTTGCCTGTATTGTCTGGCCAAACTGCTGTGGCTGCTGCCCAATTTAATAATATACAATCTCAGTTGCTTTCTTCGGTATGATACTCTCATTGTTGATAAATGCATTGTTGTTTAACCATTGGATAATGTTTATAGTTTCTGTCTTTTTTTTTTTTCCTTCTCTCTCTCTAAATTTTCTATAGTATAGTAGTAGTATATTGATTGTTTAGTGGAACCACTATGAATAAAAAAACGGTAAGTTTGGAAAATTGCTCTGATTTTGAAGGAAAGGAAAATATAGGTTAAGACCTAGAAGGAATAGGAATATTACACGATAATCAATAGAGATCAGTAGTTCTTGTGCTGCAAAATTGATTTAAATCCATGGAGGCTCCTTTAATATTTTTGTTAGGATAATTCTCTGATTTATATGGTGGAGGGTAGTTCTATCTTAATAGCTGGTTAAGAACGCATATATTTCATCCTTTTTTACCCCTTGTCTTTTTTTTTCCTTTAATTTTTGTAGCCTAGGCAAAGGGCGAATATCCTCCAAAGTTCGCAATTTCAATCACCAAATGCAATGGGGCAATCAGTGCATATGCAAGCATTGCAGCTGATGGGTTTTGGTTCACAGATAAGAGCAAATGGTGCAGTCTCGTATGGGCAACGCATCAATCAAGCCCAGTTGAGGCAGCAATTAACACAACAGAATTCACTTTCGTCACCTCAGGTATAAATTTACCCCTTAAAAGTTAATCCTTTTCTTTATTTTGTGCTTTTGTTCTTTCCATCATTGGCTTGGTTTAATGCTTTGAAACTTGCTCTGCTTTTATTACATGTTTAGCTAAAGCATGTGTTGCTTAGATCAGTTAGATGTTCACTCTTCCAGTTGTAAAAAGGAAAGATTTTTACAATTGGAACCTAGGAAAGATTCTTTTCACAAAATAGGAATATGCACTTTTGACAAGTATTTTTATTTTACTCATATAACAATTGTTATGGATTGTTTTTATGAAGAAAGAGTTTGAAGAAGATTGTTCCTTTGTTTCCGCTGAAAATGTTCTCACTTATGGGATGCTTACTTGAGTAAAATACATGGCATGGTCTGACTAGAGTTTATGTCTGCAGCAGGTCACTCATTCCCCAAACTCTCTAGATTCTCAGCTCTTATCAATCCGGGTTTCAAGTTGAAAACTGAATTGAATAAAGCAGCTTTAAGTGACATTGTCTTCATGTATGTTGTACATGGAGGGGTTTGGGTAGCGAAAAAAATCCAAAACAATAAGGTTTAATCCGTTGTCCTAACCAAATTACTCGGTTCCATGTGGATATTTTTTTACCTTGGTTCAGTTAAATTCATGATGTCCTACCCAATCTTTTTCTTCAGTACCTGCATATATTCCAAAATTTGTTAGGCTGATTAGTGACTTTCGTTCGAAAAATCGAAAGTGTGTGTTTACAACCCAAAGCAATTAGAATGCTTACACACTGTTTTTTTTATTACATAATTATGTTATGGCTTTTGTTTTTTTGGATATCTATTTGTAGACTTTGGATATAAGATGCTTCAGTTCTGGAACAGTTACTCTATCGGTTCCTGCCTTTTGAGGTGAGGCAGGTTACTTATGTTGTACCTCCCTAGTGGTAGCTCTGATGGGATCTATACTGGGATTGCTGTTGTTATTGACTTTGGATGTGAGATTTTACATTCAAATAATTCTATCCATTTTGATTTTTCCACTTCATGCCACTCTAAACTAAGTGTGCGAAAACAACACTTCAGTGGTTCAACTGTAAAAGTGGTTTCTAAGTATAATTTTTACAAATATGCTTTCAAAGTATAACTCTTACAATGATGTCGTTCGTAGTATTATTTATTGTTCCTTTTTTATAAAGACAGGCTGGTTGTTTGGATATATCATAAGTGGATTAAGTGCTATGGTATATTTTTTTTTTTAATAACCAAGAGTGAAAAAGTGCAATATACTAAGTGTTGGAACCAAAGGTGATATCAGATGGATTGAGGTGAGAACAAGGGTCCATTTAATTTCTTGTTTCCTTTTTTTTTTTTTGGGGGGTGGGGGGTGGGGGAGGAGGGAGTTGTTTAGCCATCTTTTTATGTTATTCAAGTTTGTTTCTGCTTTGCTTTAAATGGTTTGTCAAAACTCTCTTAATTCTAAAAACAGGAAGACATCTTGCCAGACTACTTTAATTTAACGTCTTGCTTATTCTATACCCAGCTTGTCCAGAACTCTAGATAAGGGCTCTACTGGAACTATAGGATAAGAACTAAGGTCAAGCCAGACATAGATGCTATATTTTACATTATTGATGATCTGTCAGGTGTTGTAGGGTAGGACTCGACTGGTTCAATCTAAATCCTATAAGCTGTTAAAGATGGTTTAACAATCAGCAACTATTACCTTATTGATTGGCTGAATGTCCAGATATTATTGAAAATGTGAAAAATCTCTTTAGTTACATTAAAATTAGCCACTCATTAATTTTAAAGTGGGTCCATATCTTAGCTGGTCTGTGAGGATGACGTTTCAGCTTCTTTAGTATTTAGGCACTTCCAATGCTATAGAGTGTCATGCGGCATAGCAAAATTGAATGGACGAATTCCCTTCTATTAATGATGCTTCATAGTTCAAGTTTGCATGATTGCTATTGCATGTTACCTGAATAAGTTCCTCTAGAAGTTCTTTACTTGTTGATAATTTTGTCACTTTTGTGCTGATGCCTTTCTCAGGCAAGCATGTGCTTGTTTCTTCTGGGTTCACTTGGGACACAAAATGACGAAACCTGATAAAGCTGGGCAATAATTTATTGGTCTAAAGTGCCAGGAAGAGTGATTTTAATGGCAGCAATAACTTTGAGGGGTTGATGACAATGTTGTGTTACTGTGGAAGGAGATGAGTGGAAAAGGATCCAATTTAATGGATTGGCAATTGTATGGGAATAAAACATTTGTTTAAAGAGATCAATTTCTGTCATTTCTATTTGATTTCTTACTTGTACATTGTAGATAAATGATTGATTGTAGGGTGTAAATGCTGCAGATAGTATCTATATTTTGTAGGCTATGAGGATACTGGATAAGTAACGTATCTCCACAAATGTTCAGTGCATGTTTAGCAATATTTACTAGCAGTTAGCAGTTCTACTCACCGCCACTAGCAAATTGGTGCCAGCGTTTCATCTAATTTTACAGTGATCAGCAAAACTAGTGACTAAGTAGTTGCTCCATAAAAGACCTGAATAATATACTGACATAAAAGATAAAATATATTAAAATGGTATTATATTGTAGTATGCTACCAATAACTATGTTAGGCTCACTAGATTTCCTAAAACACTAACGCAACCTCTAACCACTTTTAAATTAGCTATAGATTTGATGGGTTCAAAAGTCAAACACTAAGTGCCACCTTTTCTATTTAACACGCCTTTAAAAATATACGTATTCTTCCCTCTCCTACATTTTACTGTATATGATAGTGAACAATCTAAAATGCACATAGATAGATCCTAATGCGCTATCGTGTCTCTGTGTTTTGTTCTTCATTAATGAGTCCTATACGTTTTACTTAGCCTTTAGTATGTGTATTTGTATGTCCATCCTTTGTGATTAAGAATCTGACGCTTATTATCTTTCCGCTTCCAGAAAATTCAGGGTCAGAGCATGTCACGAACGTCATCATTGGCATATATGAACTCTCAGTTGTCTGGCTTGTCTCAAAATGGTCAGCCAGGTATGATGCAGAACTCTTTGTCTCAGCAACAATGGATGAAGCAAATGCCTGTGATGTCTGCCCCTGGATCACCATCATTGCGTCTGCAGCAGAATCAGAGACAGATCTTACAACAGCAGATAAGTCAATCTTCTCAATTGCAGCAGACCATGTCTTTGAATTCCCAGCAATTATCTCAGCTGGTTCAACAGCAGCCCTCAATGGGGCACCCTCAGGTGCAGCAGCAATCCTTGCAGGCAATGCGGCAGCTACAACAGCAACCATTAGTGCAGCAACAACCATCAACGCAACAACAGCAATTACAGCAGCAGCAGCACCCGCACCCGCAACTGCTACAGCAATCACCAACTATGAATCAGCAGCAGCAGCAGTTATCTCCAAGGATACAGGGACCAGCAGGCCAAAAGTCATTAAGCCTAACTGGATCACAACCAGATGCTACTGTATCTGGAACAACAACTCCAGGGGGCAGTTCAAGTCAAGGAACCGAGGCAATGAATCAACTTCTTGGGAAACGAAAGATACAAGATTTGGTTTCCCAGGTGCTGTCTAGTTGATTTTTTTCATTTCATAACATTGATTGCAGTTAATATATGGAGGATTTGTGGAAGAATTGAAAATTGCAGTCTATATTACAAACTAACTCTGTTTCTGAAAGTTTTTAGCACTTTCCATTTTTTCGTCCGTTTTCGAAAGTTCTCAACACTTTCACTTTATTCCTTTTTTGGAAAAACCTTTTTCTACCTTACCCCTCTTACCCTACCATATTTACGCCTTTTCACTCTCTTTCTTACTTTATCCACCTCTCTTACACCCACTCACCACATACACTTTCCCTCCAGTTATTTAATTTGTGTGCAAATGATATAAGTTAAGAACTTTTGGAAACAGAGATAGTATAGTCTCTCATGCCCTTCCCGGATTTGGAAATTCATTGCATGTGCTATTGAACTACTGCTAATTTATAACTTGTCAAAACTGAATGCTCATATAGTTATGTGTTAGTAATTGGGGGTATTTATTGGTTTGGTATGGTGCAAGACTGCCTTAATTACATTATGTAGCTAGTGCTATTCAATAAATTTGAAGCCTACAAAGTGAATCAATTATTTTATTTTTAAACATAAAAATATATACCCTTTTTATTCCACTTTCTTATGGCCTTCTTTTGTCCTATCCTACTTTCTTCCCATATTGCATCAATTTTTGGCTATATGGCTCTTATATGCAATTGATTTGTTCTCAGGTGGATGCACATGGTAAGTTGGATCCTGAAGTTGAAGATCTTCTCTTAGATATTGCTGATGACTTCATTGATTCAGTGAGTGTTGCTATCTTTTTAGCTGATGAATTGCTTGAGCTTTTGATATTGCAGACCTCATTGGTTTTCCACCATGGTTTTGGTTGTGGTTATTTGTAATGGTTGAGGAAGGGTACTTTCTTTGTGTCCTGGTAAGGTTTGATAGCATGTTCTACCATGGCACTTGGACAACAAGACATCTGCCAGATTACTTAAAAGAAAATGTTTTTAATTTCTTGTTAGTATTATCACTCTGGCACAAAACTATCATATTGTCATTTATTTACCTTCAAAAATGCCGTCGTTCCCACAGTATCTTTTTTTCTTAAGGCTTGAAATTCTGATTGTTGTTATTTGTTTAACTGATTATTGTTGCTCTGCTTGCAGGTTACTACATTTGCATGCAATTTGGCAAAGCATCGAAAATCTTCAACACTGGAATCCAAGGATGTGATGCTACACCTAGGTCTCATTTCTTACCTCTTACAAGCTTAACTGGGGTATTATTTGCCTTATTGGTGATTTGTTGATCTCAATTATTTTCTTTTATGCTGTACTCTTGGAGGAAGTTGAATCTGCTTCTAGTTTCCATGTTAGTGATTATTTTGTTTTCTACGAAGGAGCTAAATATACAAGTTGAAGGATCTGCTGTTAAGTTCTAAGCTGAAATAAAAGGATTACAATTTTGCAAATCACCTTCTATTTATTGATTTTTTTTTTATTGGGAATGGTATCAATCATATGGTATTGGGGATGACAGTTTAATTTGTTTGCAGCATGATGTCAAGGTACTTGTATATTACATATTTCAAACTTCACATGCTTATTGAAAAGAATAGTTGAGAAAGTGTATTTTTTTTTTTCTTTTGCCTTTCCTGTAACTACTATCTGCCAATTCCAGGTTCCTTTTTCTTTATTATGTTTTCCTTTCGGAGGCTAACCAGAGGATTTTGGTGGGAGTATGCATGATCTTGAAATTATGGTTCTGAAATTATTGCTTGCATCACGAGTCTAGGTCTCTAGCATGTGTTGTTAGGATCCTTTTAAAAGGTATTAATTTTTGTTTCAAGGAAATACTGGAAGCTTTACCTTGACGAATGGATTATTAATTATGTGTTCTAATGCGCATATCATTATGTGATAATGAGGGTTAATGGTAAGTGTTATAAAAGGTGGATAAATGGGAACCCTGAAACTTCTCTGGCTTAGGAGTAATTGTCAACTATCCTATTTTGTTTGTTTGCTGCAACCACCAACATGTAACTAAATTGGAGGTATTGAGTTGTTAAATGTGATGGCTGAGAGATGACACACTGCCTTTTTATAGGATCTCACGCTGAAAATTGAAACGATGCTGACTGTTCCACAGACCTTCATCTTTTACTAGAAAATTATTTTGTTTATTGGATAAGTGTTCCATTTATTAGCAATTAGAATATCTAATTGAGCTTATGTCTTCCTAATGTAAAATTTTCCACTGCAGAAAAAAATTGGCATCTGACTATCCCAGGATACTCAAGTGAAGATCGGAAAAGCAACACCGACTGTGTAAGTTCTTGCTGTACAAATGTCTTCTTTTGTTCGTTAAGTATGCTTCTTGAAATTTTGTGATAAAATGATTTTTTATGGCTTTTTAGGCTAACATAATAATCACTTTTGAGCAAGAGGGAGGAGAGTTCACATGGAAGGAAGTCTCTGGCTTCCCTTGAACTCACAGAAACCTAACTTTGCTACTCGTATATATTGAGAAAAACAACGAGGCTATTATTATTATTGTCATGATATTATGATATTATCATTATCTAGGGGGGAAGAGAGATTAGATTAGTTCTAACATGTTGACATCTGGTGGTTGCAGCCCTCAAGTGATGTGCACAGAAAGCGCCTTGATATGGTACGTTTTTATTACATTTAATTTATTTAAATGTCTCCTTTTTTATGAGTTCTTATTGTTTTTGTGCACAATAAATGTATGGCAGATACGTGCCCTGGTGGAGTCTTCACAATCAGAATTCTACCCAAACAATTCTAAAGAAATGGTGAGACAAGGACTTGGTAACTTGTCTGGCGCCAACCACATTATGAAAGCCTCCCCTAGTCCAGATCAACTTGTTGCACAACCAACTGCATCTCAAATGCTTCATCAGATGACAAGGTTCTGATAGAGCACCCCTGCTTTGTCTGTTCAGCTACAAATGAGTGTACATTTTTGGTAAGCTTCACCTCTGTATTGTAGTCAAAATCTTTGTTATATTCTTGAACGACTATCTGAATAATATTCATTACTTTTTTGTCTGCTGCTGATGTTGTGTCCGTAATTGGGGCAAATGATATGAAATCATTCAATGATCACATCTGCATGTCCTAGACAACCCTGAATCCTTCCATAATGGTTCAAGTTTTGATGTGCAACCTAGTATTAGTGACCTCTTTCTTTATGCTGTCTTAGTGTGCTGTTGTAATTGTTTGATTTTGTGTTATTCATTTACTTATTTTCATCAGCATAATGTAAAAAGCGATTACCTCCCTCCCTGTATCATTCACATCCTCTCGCACTGTAGGTTGATAAAACTGTGAGGGGTACAGATCTGCACAGCTAGGCGATTCTGAATAAATAGAAAACGCTAAGAAGTGCCAAATAAGATACTGACCAACTCGAGACATGCTAGGAGTTCGTTTTAATTATCCTGTGTATATTATTGTGGAAGATGATGAGCTAAGGAGGTTTGTCTACAAACTACATAGCTGTATATTATGTGCTTTCATAGTCATACCATGCTGTAATTTTATTTATATTCACGAGTGGAGTTTGAATTTCACGAATGAATTGTAATAGGAAGCATATTTTTTATATTCTTTAGAAAAGTAACTATAGGTGAATTTTTATTATACTGTGAAATTTTGCCCTCATTAGACTATTCTGATATTGTAATTTGATATGTCCTCTGTCCTTAATTGATCTAAAGTAGACCGCATTTTTATTTGAGATTGTATCAAGAAATAGGCCACTTCATAAAATTAGTACACATTAATATTTTAATTTTTATGTATTACCTTATATGATATCTTTGAGTAAGATTTCCAAGAAATTATCTTATTAGTATGGCAAAGATGTGAAATACAACTTGTGAAAGATTTTTGTGGCATAAGCAATTTGCACATCTTATGGTTTACTTCATGAGACGACGAAATTTAGGCTTTTAAATTTGAACCGTTCAAACTTGAGGCCTGCATCAGAGACCTAGATTATACACCTGTTTCACTGTTTGTAACAGGATGAAGGCAGAAGCTCTGAACCTTAGACTTAAACTTAAGGATATGTTTAGCAAGTGCTACATACTTGATCTCATACATAATACATAACTATATTCTCAATTCAGATGCCTATTCTGAAATATACAAAAGCATCTGCAAACTTATAAGTAAAAGAGCATAGTATATGCTGGCTACTAAAACACAGAACTATAAACCAAAACAAAACTACAAGTCTTAACTTTGTGCTTCTAGGAAGGCATGGAAGGCCATCTGGGCATCTTTGTTATTGTCTTTGTCGTCTTCCTCCTTGTCATTGTCATCGTCATTATCAAACACGAAGGCAGCTGTCACTGGGGACTGCATATCGCTCACGCTACACCTTAGCAGCTCCATTGGCAAATCAAAGAAGAGGTTCGCAGATTCTCCTTCCTCATTCTCCAAGGAGGAGGCCCAAGACCCACACTCAAACTTCTCCAATGAGACTCTCCTCGATATTGCCATTGGTTCGCTCTTGCACGATGCTTGTGTCATTGTTGATGCCGTTGAGATGGATCTTACAGTTTTGCCCTTCCCTCTAGGAAGGAAAAGGCACAACTTCCCGCATTTAAATTTTTCCTCCGAAAAACTTGGGTCTCTACTTTTGCTCTTCTTCATCGTACTGCTATGGCGATCTACAATGCCAGGTCCAAGTGGTGGCTTGGAAAAGCCACTGTGTTTATTACTATTATTATTGTTATTATTATTACTACTACTGCTCTGATCTTTTCCTGAGTTGTGGCTTGATTTCTCAAGCCAGAGATCAAAATCATCTACAGGACCGCTTGTTCTCCCTTCACCAAGAGACTTGCTCTTCCGCGTGTTAGCCTCCACCATAGCAAGGTGCGTATCATCCATCACAGACTGCATTCTCGAGAGATTATTTCGAGGAGCTGCAGCAGCCTGTTGGCTATGATTTTTTTGATACTTTTTATATAAACTTTCTGGGGAAGAAGAGTTGGAGCCTGGAAGACTCGAGCTCACAAACTTGAGCTTTGGTGGTGGTGAAGGAGATGGTGGAGCATTAGGGCCCAAATTCTGATTAGTTGGAGGAGAAACCAACCGAAAGCTGGCTTGCCTAATAGTGTTTGACCCTTGCAATGAAATAGGGTCAACCGAGATTTGTTTCTCCCTTTCCGAGCTATCCCTTGTAAGAACAGCTCTAGGGGGCTCTATAGCAAAGAACTCAGCTCCCTTCTCATTATCAATAGTCATAAAAATACCGGCCTCATCATCACTGAAGTTGCTGCCATTGGAGTACCGAGCACTGTCGCCTTTAGAGGATGTGCCCATGACAGAAGAAGGTGAAGGATGCATGTTTTGTGTATGTTATGTGTATGGAAGATATGAAATGAAACTCATAAGGATGATTGATTGAAATTTGAATAAATGCAGGACAAGTAAGAGTATGTATGCAATGAATATATAAACAAGAACGTGCATGGCATATATTTTCATTGCTTAGATAGTGAATTCCATGTCTTTGCCGGCTAATATAAAATAGGTTGACATGAAATGTATTCCCAGACTTATTCTTCATTAGATGAGGTCAACTACTATTTTGTTTAGAAAATTAATCAATTAATTTTATTTACCGTTGCTGGTAATTACATTAATAAATTAATCAATTAATTTTATTTACCGTTGCTGGTAATTACATTAATAAATTAATTAATTAACTTTGTATACCTTTGCCAGTAATAAGGTAATTACATTAATAAATTAATCAAATAATTTTGTTTAGCTTCTCCTTTTCCAACAGAAGTTCTGGTTTGCAGCTATTTCACACATACCAGGGACTAGATAAAATTACATTTAATCAGAAGAGAGTCCGGATGCTTTGCAGCGAATGTTGTTATATTAGGCTTTTGTTGCTGAATTAATACTTCTAAGCTCAAAGATGAGATTGGCTTCTGGTAAAACGGACTAGGTGATACCTGCATTATTGATATTCGTATCTGTTGGGTTGTTTAAGCTTAACTAAGGCCTGTCTTTGATTATTGCTTGACGATTTATAAGCAGTGCGTGCAGTCGGAATATGATGATGGTGATTTTAGACTAAAGAGTATTATGAACTTAAGCAATGTATTCCTGAGTCCTGACTAGCTAAATTTGCTACTTTTGTGGATAGTAGTTTTCTATAGATGAGAGCAGAAGATTTCACTATTCTTGCTGTCATGATTACCTTAGCAGTTTACACTATGTCGTTTGCTATCTTACACATTCTAGCTAGCTTCAAAAGCTTAGTTGATATTCTATTACAAACATGAGAGAAGACTTCAGTGAATGTCAGCTAGCTTAGTTGGTTAAAGTTTTAGAGGTAACACTCAAGACTTTATATCAATTTCAGTACAATAAAAACACGCAAAAAGGATACAATAGGTCAATCCACATCTGCTTCCATGAGCACCATACAAGTAAAAGCAAGCTTTTTCCATCACAGATATTAATGCTTTTTCCTACAATAAATCACATATGACTTACTGATTCACAAGTCACTCACAATATATGTGTACACATATCTGTCACAGCTGATCATATATGCTTTAGTCATTGCTCCTTCCATTTTTCCTGATTACCAAAAACTTTTTCAGCAAATCCTTGTCTGCATCATCGATATTTGGATCAGTGAGTAAGCCCACAAATGATGATATAGTGTGATTATCAGCAGCAAACTCTTTAATTCTCATCAACCTGACAAGCTCTAATGCTCTGCTAATGTCCCTTCCATCTATAAATCCTCTAATAATTGTATTAAAGGTGCATTCATCTGGAAAGCATCCATTGTCCTCCATATTCTTCAATAATTCATCGGCTTTTGCTAGCAACCCTTCTTTACAAAACCCTTTTATCATTATGGTGTAAGCACGCAAATCATGCAGCCCTTTAGCTGTGAGAAAGGAGAAGATGTCCATCGCTTCTCTAAGGCGATTAGATTCACAGAAACCATCCATTAGGGTTCTGTATGTAATAATATCAGGGGCCACTCCACTGCTCTCCATTTCCTTCAGTGTTGCAATCGCCTCATCTATTTGTCCATTCTTACACATCCCATCAAGCAATGAGTTCCAAGTGATTACATCTGGCTTTAGTCCATGAGCTTCCATTTCCTTGAAAAATTGATGTGCAAGCTTGAGTTGATTGTCTTTGCACAAGGCATCTATAAGAGTGCTGTACGTGATAACATCAGGGGCTAATCCGTTAAAATGCATCTCTTGGAGCAGACCAAGAGCTTTGTCAATCTTTTTAGACTTGCAATAGCCATTGATTAAGCTGCTGTAAGTAACTACATCAGGTTTGCAACCATTTTCAACCATCAAATCCATAAGCTTTTCTGCCTCATCCATCTCACCACGTAAACAATATCCATCTAATAGAGCACTGTAAGTGATGATATTGGGAACAAATCCTCTCTCAATCATGTGAACAAAAATGTCCCGGGCTTCACCAACCTTGCCTTCTTTACAATACATATCAATCAACATGCTGTAGGTGTTAACATCAGGAGTTATGTTGTTCCTCAACATCTCAGTCAGCATTTCTTGAGCCTCTTTCTGTTGCCCCAAAGTGCACATACCTCGAATTAAGGTAGTATAGGTAAAAACATTAGGGGAAATTCCCTTGACTTTCATCTCCTTGAAAAGACGGAGAGCCTGAGGTAATAACTGGTCTTTACAGAGACTATCAATGACGGTGCTATAAATGACAACATTAGGCATAAAATGGCCATAAGACTCCATATTTCTAAGGAGTTTGAGAGCACCGGCATTATCACCGGAACTACAGAGACCTTTGAACAAAGAACCATAAGTGACCATATCAGGTTGGAAGCCAAGCTTGAGAATTTTATCCAACAATGGAACGGCTTTCTCAAATTGATTAGAGTGAATGAAGCCGTTTATGAGAGTAGTAAAAGTAACAATATTAGGCTGAAAACCAAGCTTAATAATGTTGGCGAGAACAGAGAACCCCAAATCAACAAAGTTCAAACGACAGTAGCAATTGGCAAGGATGGTAAGGGAGTAAATATTTGGACGAAGACCTAAGAAAAGGAGGTGCCTGTAAAGAGAAATGACAGTGGAGAAAGGGGGGTGGGGTTTAATCTTGGACATGGCACTCAATAACATACAGAAATCAATGATAGATGGAAGAGGTCGCATCGATTTCATATGTTGGAAATGGGAAAGGGGGATTTCAACATTAGTAAACCCTAATTTGGATTGTTGTCTAACAAATTTAAGGAACAATTTGGGGTCATCAAAATCAACATCAGCATGAAAACGTCTGGAAAAAGAAGGAAGATGAAGAAGATAACCTAAAAATGGCGAAGAAGCAGAAGCAAGTGAAAGCAAAGCTTTGTTCCTCATCATCGTCTCACTCTCAGTTCTCACACCTGCTACTGCTAGTGCTGCCTCTGCCAAAATTAAAAAGGAATGAAGAAATTTTAGGCGCCGCAGCCGTGGCTGTGGCGTCCAGCCAGGCGCCAGCCAACTGGTGGCGGCTTCTGCATCTGGCGCCACCACCGCCGGCTGGGCGTCCAGCCAGGGCGCCCCCCCCCCAATTTTTTTTTTTTTTTTTTTATTTTTTTTTTAATTTTTTAAAAAAATTGTTTTTAATTTTTTTTTTTTTTTTTTGTAATATAATTTTGAATTGTTTTTATATTTTGTTGTTTATTTTTATAATTTTTTTCAATTTCGTTGTATTTTTTCTACGTTTATATTTTGTTTACAATTATTTGTATGTTTTTAGTTTATTTGATTTGCGATGATGATTATTTATTGTATAAATTTTTGTATGTTTATATATTTTAAAATTTTGTGTAGGGTCAACATGGTGGGGGGAAGAATATAGAGCTTCTTAGTAGAAGTTATTCAGTGGAGAGGTCGGGGCATAGACATGTCAGATCCCGTGGTATTTCGGCCTCAGTTCGTAGAGAACGGATCCACCGTCGGGATGAGGATGACGATGACGATGATGATGCTGAGGAGAGTGACCAGGAGGAGGAGCAGGAGGAGGGCGCAGATGAGGATGAGGATGTGGACGATGGCAGTGGACCGTATGATGATTACGGTCCATTCAGTCAGAGGGTTGATGACATGTACGAGACGCATATGGTGGAGGTGCGTAAGGGTAGGGGTGGTAGGTTTGTTAGTAGATCTGGCACATCATCTGCGTCCACTGTATCTGGGGCAAGCAGGAAACGGTCGAGGGCGGGTAATGATTCTTGGGTTGTTAGGAGTGAGGTGCCCGGTGGGCCTGTTGACGGGAGTGTGATTCCTAGCTTTCTAGGACACATAGCTGCCCGTATTTGGGAGGACCAGGAGAGGCCTTCAGTTACGGGGTTGTTGAAATGTCATACCCGGGAAAAGACTTGTAGCTTTTTGCGTACATGGGCTGAGGCCTGGCCGGCGGAGAGCGAGATGTTTGAGCGACTGGAGGGCACTGGGGTGAAGCACGTTCCTGCCACCATGCACGATAAGATTGACAGTACGCTGATCACGGCTTTCATTGAGCGATGGCAGCCGGATACAAACTCTTTTCACCTTCCGTTCGGTGAGATGACGATCATGTTACATGACGTTGAGGCCATTCTGGGGATTCGTGTTGAGGGTAAACGACTTTGTGCTGTGGCTGATGCGGATCAGGCAGATTCGCTGGCGGAGTTGTTGGCGGTGGACAGGGCTGCACTGTACACCGAGGCGCTAGGTGTTTGGGAACACGGAGGTGTGAAGATCGCATCCGTGTTGCAGCGGTGTTTGTACCCGAGTGCACGTAGGACGCCCGACGCACAGCTGAGTGCTTATGTTTTTCTACTCCTCGGATGTACCTTGTTTCCGGATAAGAGCGGCGGAAACAAGCTCAGGCCACGCGACATCGTAGAGGCGTGTGACCCCGACAGTGTAGGCCAGTTTTCCTGGGGATCGGCTACGTTGGCGTATTTGTATCGCCAACTAGGATTTGCGAGTCGGGCTGACGCGGCAGGTATCACTGGGTGTCTGACTCTATTGCAGACTTGGATATACGAGTACTTTCCTGCATTGCGACCACATCGTGACCTAGTTCCTATTGATGAGGGGATGCCGCGTGCTTGTGCGTGGAGTCCGCGCTCGGAGAAGAAGTCCGTTGACCGCCTCCGATCGATACGGTTATTGCTGGACAGGTTGTCCCCCTTAGAGGTAACGTTTATTTATAGAGTCTACATTTTATTATTTGCACATATTATATTCATGTTATTAAATTTTATATGTTGTAATTGTACAGGTGAACTGGATGCCTTTCGGCCCGAACCCTAGTGTTAGGGTACCCAGGACCCTGTACACGGGACTCATTCAGTATCGTGACATCGTCGAGGCGTACATGCCCCAGCGTTGTCTTCGCCAGCTTGGATTTGTCCAAGTTGTCCCTCCTCCCCCGGCGTGCCCGATGAAGGCGGTCCGACCTGCATCGTCGAGGGAGTACGTCGTGGAATGGCCGGATATCATGACCGGGACGTGGGACCAGTTTCCGATGGTGGCCCGCTTATGGACAGCGGAGTTGCAGCGGCCGCCCTCTGGGGTTACTCCCATGTGTGACCATTACTACATGGAATGGTTCAACCGGTATTCGCACCCGAGGTTGATCGCTGATCTCGACCACAGCGATGATGATTATGTGCCACCGCCTACTGCCACGGAAGCGGTATGTCTTTTATTATATTTATCGTTGTCTTTTAATTAAGTTTTATTTGTTGTTATTGTATTTCATCTTCTGTTTTTTGTTGTATGCAGTGGATGGGAAAGATAATGCAAGACGTTCAGAAACTCTCTCTTGAGAAGGACAGCATGAGTGCAACAGGGAGAGCTGTTGTTGATAGTCTGGAACAGACCCTTGCGCAGTGGGAGTCGTCGTCGAGGAGGGATTACTGATGGTTATTGTATTTTATTTATAGAGCATTATGTTGGACATTATGTTGTAAAATTGTAACATTTTAGATTGTTCTTTTAGCTTCCAACTTAAACATATTATCAGTGCTGTTTTTAAATTTTGATATAACCGTTCGTGGATCCGCGCAACTTACCCATGCAACATATAGAATGCAGTAAGCAATACAATATAAAATATTAATGCTCTCATTAAAAGAGCAACGTACAAATAAGATTACAAATAAAGAATGTAAACATGAAAAACTAAAATGCAGCTAGGGTGTTCCATTCGTGGATCCGGTCATTATATAGCGCATCCCAACCCTCTACGCTCGCTGTGCGAATGTTGTACCACCGAGGTATAATCGGTGGCACCGGAAAATCGGTTGACATGTCTAGTCGGATGAAATGTCTGTATGACGACCCAAGAAACGCAATAGCTAGCTCTCTGACCGGTGTGGTGACAGTCTCACGCGACCGCCAAGGGAGAACCGTGGTACAAGGATAATAAGCTTGACTATGCACTCCCAGGCCGAAATGCATGACTGCGCATTTGTAAATGTTTTCAACGGCAAACAGATCTAGGGGCGCGTCAAAATAATGATTTTTGCCGCAAGGTCCACCTCCCCACCGGATTCGCCGCAGAGCGCCATCCAAGTCATCCTGGTACACATGACGATAAACATTTCGGTTAGAGGCAATTTCGCTGTACATCAACTCACGCACCAAACCGTAGTTGTCTTCGCCCAGTGGACCGTACTTGTTTGTCTTGTACGTTGAGTCGATCAAAATCACAAATGGCCAAGACTTGATCATATCAGCACAATCAGGATGCACAAGGAAAAGATGAGTCACCTCCGCTGTATCTTCATCAGAATCAAACCAGAACAGGTAACCACGTGATTGTGCCTGGTGTAGCAGCTGCTGTATAGGGTTCCTTCCCTCTGGCCGTTCAAACCTGAGTTGCTGTCTGACGTTGTAGATGTGTCTTTGGTTTGGATGGTCTTCTGGAAATTTCTCTAACACAGATGCTAATATTTTAGCAGGCTTCACTTGAGCATCACTCATTTCTTTCACAACTAGTTTCGCAGCAGGACTTAAGCCGCTCAGTTGTCGATGACCCTCTTCATATACTATCATCTCATGGTTGGCATACCCCCATTTAGAGTAACCTATCACTTCCCAACCGTCACGACTCCGTAGTTGTCGAACCTTTACTCTGAACTCACACCCACAACCTTTCCGCTTTGTGTCAAACCGAGTGGCTGTACGAAAATCTCTTTCTCCTCTTTTGCGATAACGGTCACATCTCAAAATGCGATCCATTCTACCATCCAGTTGAGATTTATGAGTTGCTACTACCAAGCAAAATCCAGCTGCAATTGCAACCTGTTTTGCCCAATCAATCGCCTGTTGAGCTTTTTCGAATGGACCATCATGTCCAAATATCCCACTGTAATCATTTCCGTCTCCACCATATTCCTGCATCAATTATATATTACAATAAGTACATTTAACGGATAATACATTTAATTTCTATATTTCCACATAATTAACACAAAAATAAACATAATTATATATAATCAAACTTAATTTTTATAAAAACCCAATTCGAATTTTCAAACTAAATTTAAAAATATACCATTTCGAATTTTCAAATTTAATTTTAAAAAAACCTATTTCGAATTTTCAAATTTAATTTACAAAAAACCCATTTCGAATTTTTTTAAAAAATCATTTTCGATTTTTTTTTTCACAAAAAAATTAAATAAAAAACAACAACAAAATCAAAAAGGAAAAAATAAAAATTAATTATTAAAGGTGGCGTCTGCCAGGGCTGCCACAGCCACTGGACTGGCGCCTGGCAGGGCCGCCTCACCCAGTGGAGTGGCGTCTGCCCAGGACGCCAGTCTGGTGGTCTGGGCGTCTGGGCTGGACGCCACTCTGGTGGTCTGGGCGTCTAGCCTGGACGCCACTCTGGTGGTTCTGGCGTCCGGCTTGGACGTCCAGGCTACGGTTTGGGCGTCCACCCTAGGCGCCGGAGCCACTCCGACGGTAAACCGTGAATTTTAACGGTGACTTACCTCGTTTTCCGTCGACGACGACGTACCTCCGGCGTCCCCCGCATCTCCGGCCTGCCATCCGGTCTCCCCCGGCGAGCCAGTACGGCTCCACATTTTTTACACCGAGATTATTTCAATTTTAGCAAAAGGGCATAATGGTCAAATCATAACATATTTGTGGGTTTTATATGGTAAATTGCGGACGATGTTTAGCGTTTCACAAATTAAAAAGGAATGAAGAAATTTCAATAATAAATTAATAATAATGGCTGCATTTGGTTAAGAGCGTTTTGGGAAAAATTAAAAATAAAATAAGAGCGGTTAGACCAATTCAATCAGCTGATTTTGCTGTTTGGTTAGGAGTAAATTCAATGAGCGGTTTGGCCTTCAAACCACTAATTTGAAAGAAAGCAGCTTTTTGAAAGAGAGGGTAGCTGATTGAAGTGTCAAATGTCCTTTATACCCTTACTCC